CTGCTGTCGGCGCCTGTTTCCCTTCCTCTGGCAATTTTGCCAGTTCGGCGCATGTACTCACCCGTCCGACAAGCTAGTCGTCTGCGTCGTAGTCATCGTGTCAGTTAAGTCTATGTGTTGCCCATAAATCACAAGGAAAGTATGTCAGCTGCACGTGGAGAGGGAACGTGACTGTGGACCCTTCAACTTCTTTATGAAAAGCTTGTCGGAAGACAAAATGTGTGCCAGGTGAGGGCAATCAACGAACATCCTCATGCCATCGTCAAAATGCAACCACAGTCTCCTATTATAAAATGTGCAAAGGAATGCAAATTGTAAGGGCCAAAATGAGTGAGCTATCTAATTAGCTATAAGGAGGCGTGCTGGGGTGTCTCCTGAATGCAGCTTTTAACGGGCAATAAAACCAACCCAGTGTGCGACTCGGGGACGACGCTGTTTGCATTGTCTTTGCCAAAAAAGCTTAGTTGATCTTTGACAAATGCCTTGTTTTGTAAAAAAGCTAGTAATTCGTCCATTAAATCTGCCATTTCGTCTACAACTGGCCCAGCGCTCACTGCTCTACGAAATTTGAAAGACGCGAGTTTTCTGCCAGCTTTGGATGTCTGCAGCTCCAACTGCTGCTTTATCACCTAGGCTCGAGACTGAGGAATTCTTGACACTGAATAGCCAAATAGAGGAAAAGGCTTCTATTATTAGTGGAAGTGGACTTATGGGGCAGGAGTGTGAGGGACTGCATCACAAAGGTAAAATGACGCATGAAATCCCAATAACTATCGCCCACTCTAGTGATGGCTCATTCTGGTCCCCTGAATTGTTAGTACACATTCCCGATACTGTAAGGCATCGCCGAAAGCCTAAAGGCGTTTTTGACCACTTTAGGTATGTTTTCTCCATGTCGCAATCTTTGTTTTCCTACTCAGTTTGTCCTCTCAACACGCACTTTTACAGTCTGTCCGTTGTTTTGTCATGGCAAACCATCAAATTAACACAACTGATTTTGGCGGCGCAATGCTGAGAAAGCAGCTGAGATTAGGGATGATTGTCGTCTTTGTGACATGCAACCGGACTGCTTGTGCACTTAGGAGGGACAAAAGTTAACGAATAAATGACTCTCTGTTAAATGCCGCTTAGCTATTTTGCTTGACTCACTGTGCTGTATGCAGGTAGATGGGTGTAAGGTCAAGGATGCTGTTTTAAAACTGCCTCGCTTTTGCCTCTTGTTTTCAGCATTGACCACGTGGTGCTGTTTGGCGAGGGTGTGGGAGCAAACATTCTGGCTCGTTTTGCAGCAAGCTTTATTTCTCTTCCCATTTCCCTCACCAATGATGATTGGGCGCTCTCCGAAGTAGGACGATTCAACATTGAAAGGCATCGGATCATGTGAACAAGTTGTTGAAAGGAGAAGAAACATTTGCCTAATAATGTAAGTGTGGTGCAGTTGAACACCATTGTTACATCTCACACTCTCAATTGGTGCTACTGCGAAATTGCAATACAAAAGCTTCCACAGGAAGAGGAAATTTATAACTTCAAAGGTGAAATTAGGCTGACTTCTCTACAGCCACTTTTATTTGCCTTTCCTGACCTTTACGGAGAAGCAAAAGACGGGATGGTAGTCACCCACTGAAGCCTGCTATTTCCCTAGTGTTTTAGCGGCACAGGAATCAGCATTGAATCATCAGTTTTCCGTGCCAGATAATCTAGGTAGGTGTGAGTTGTAGCCATCTGTAAGGGGTCCATCCCAATTGGGCCTTTGTCCCACCGAGTGTCACTTCTGCCACCATGTGGAATTTAAATCACACCAAGAAGCTCGCTTTCCCTCTATAGTTAGCTTTTAGTTGGCAACAAATCTACAAATGATTAATCCATTGGTTCCATTGTCCCTCTAAGAAGAAGCAAAATGAGGGCCTGCTTTACGCACCGAAGTCTGCGATGTGCATATTGTTTCTGTGGGAAAGAATCAACATTGAATCCTTACTCTTCTGTGACAATCAGCCAAGCTAGGAGGTGGATTTAATAGGGAAGGGAGGTGTGAGCTGCAGCCTTTGTTAGATATCCGCCTTAAGTAGACTTTTATCCCACCGAGTGTCCCTTCTGCCACCTTGTGGATTCTACATCACACCAAAGTGTTCACTGTCGCTCTTTAATAAGCCCTTTGAAGGAATCGGATTTACAGAAATGAGTGAATTGACTGCCCGCATTGGTGTGTACCATTTCTACACAGGAAAATTAATCCATCGGTTTCATTGTTTCTCACCGGGGGAGATTTTAAAGGCACGACTAGGTCAAAGTAAGGTTACCTCTTCCCCTTCCGCCTTTGCCTTAGATTTGAACAACTTGCAACCAGCTGAGTACATTCTCCTCATGTCAAAACCGACTTGCATTCTCATTGATGCAGATGTTGCACGGCGAAATGGTGATGGGTGCTGTGCTCATCCACCGCACAGGTCAGACTGCCAGCTTCGCAGACTGCCTTCGAGACAGAGCAAGCTTTTACCTTCTTATTCTTTAAGGAGCTTTTGAGCGAGGGGCCAATATGGCACTTTTGTTGAGACACGCTTTGTTTTCTGGACAAAGGGCATAATCCAAGCCCTGGGCGGTCCGTTCTACTAAAATGCTCGTTTTTCTGTTTGCAAAAAAGTTTGTCCAACTTGTTTAGGACAATAACCATGCGTAAAATAGTCATATTATTCAGCGATTGACTTCAAGTTACTTTCATCCCCATGGCACTCTCCCTTTCTTCCGCTCCGTCCTCGTGGGCTAATTTTGATTGCGGATTGTCTAAATATCCCTGCTTAAGAAATAGATCAAAAAGCACTGCAATCAGAGCTAAATGGATAAATGGGTGGTCACTAATCAGATGCCCTGAAAGTTTTGATTGATTTTAATTAAAGCTCACCTTAACTTAAATTTGTCTTAATGGAACATATTTGAAATAATTGTTTACTTTAATGTTGACAACCTTTACAAGTGTCATTTGTGATGTTAGGAAAATTATTTTTCTGTTTCGAAGAGTGATGGGAAATCCCGTACTCTGACCAAATGCTATTTGACCTGTAAAAGTTTTTTTGGACTTTCTGCAAAAATGTACTATCAATCCTAAAGTGACCTTGAAACGCGCCAATGAATGAGTGGATGAACGAGTTAGCCAATCCATTAGTAGATGAGTAGAATGTGATTACCTATATTCCTTCGTGTCTGCTATTTCAGCTTGTTAATTGGAAGCTGAAAAACATTGCACTGAACCCTGCCATCAAAAGTCCCCTTATCTTCTACCAATTTGGATATGTGAGTCAGCTTGTTGTTTTTTGTCATCAGAAGATGAGTGAAAAGTGACCCTTCCCTACCCATAAATGCTGACTACCGAACGTAGTGTGGTGACCAGTTTCACAAATTGAAGTCATGCAGTTAAGTGCATCAACTCCTATTCACTGCTCTGCTTATTCGTCTGCTAGTCGTAGTTGCTGTGGCTATTCTGTGGTCAGCCACAGCAAGTACTCCCATGAACTCACTATAGCAGACTGCTAACATGATGGACGGGTGTCAAAGGCACAATTTTACCCATGTTTTCTTGGCTGAGTATGATGTAAAACGTGTAAGGACTACCATTTGTGATGAGTGTGCCCTCCGAAAGTAGAGCGTAATGCATTTGAGGACGGAAAATATAAGGCAGAGTGTGGTTTAGCGGGTGGATGGTCAGCATAGTATCAAGCAATCAACCCACTTCGTACGTCAAACACGTCGTGGGAGAAGTTCGGCGCAAAATCAAGAGACGTGTACGGGTACGCGGTGGTGCTGCTAGGTATAGATAACTTCACTGCTTGTTGTCATTTCAGTGAGCCACAGAAAGATGCAGACAACACCACTGAATTTGAGCCGACAAATGTCCATAGAGAACTACGACAAATCCAAGGTTCGCATTCAGCTGGCTGGTGGATTCCGCCCCAATCTGGCAGCTTCAAATGATATAGCGGAAAAGAGCAGCAACTAAACTTACCTTATTCCATCGCGAAGCACCTGGACACACACATCCACTTCCTATGTACACGCAGATTAGAGTAGCAGTCGTCCATGTCCTCCATCCTCTCCCCTCCTCTTCCCACATTGCTCATCCCCCATTTTGCAATACTCCTCTTGCTCCGTAGCCTCACTGTCTGTCCTCTTCCACCCTTCATCGTGTCTTTGCTGGTGTTGATGTGCCTTCATAGGCATTTAGATTGTGCTTCTTCTGTCCCTCATAACGCCTACAAAAATTATTTTTCACAATCAAATATACACTCTGACCTTATTGTTTTTTTGCGACAAAAGCAGCGAATTTAGCGTGTTTGTGATCATAGTCCTAATACACATCCCAGTTGCAGCCCTCATTCCTCCGTCGAGTCACAGGCAGCTAGAGTTTCTAAGGTAGGAAATTTCTTTACAAACTAGCACAATTTCAATTCCAATTGCAGTTACTTTTGACACACAAGACAGAGACTTGAATGTCGTTTGACTTCCATACATACAGGCGGTTGATTTGAATTCCACCAAAATTCCTGCTTTCCCATCTCCTGAGATTGAGGAGGTTAAAACCACCGAAGTGGCAGTTGGAGTTGAGTAAACATGTCCACTACTTCCTGATGATGGGCGATCTTCTGCCCTCCGACCATTCATTTACATGCACTAGGAGATCAAGTAGAAGGACGCCTACATTTTTATTACTGTCACCTGGAATGAGAACAACAAATTCCTCCCCTCGCCAATCCATGCATTCATGCACTTCTTCCGAGAGAAAGTTCCTGTTTAGAGCGATGCCAGCAGTTGACAAATGTCCCTTCCCAGCTGCACATGGAGGGTGATTTTTTTATCAAAAAGAGACGCACAACAAATCCCCTGAATCTAGTAGGCCTAGCTACATTGGTTTAAAAAACGTTTGGTTGTTTTGCGTTTATAGTGATGCCAAGGGCATTATTGGTCATCAGACTTTGACACTGACAGTTGAATGGTAGCGAATGGTCCTGTGGGTGGCCAAATCATCCCCACTGCATCAACTTAGAATGAGGCGATGAGTGGTGGAGGTGTTGTGCCATCAAGTAAAACATCGGTTCACTTTAGATTACGGATGACAAGGGGAGTACAAGACATCCAAGATGGCCCAGCCTGCATCCATGTCTATCCTGTAAACCGCACGTGTCTCCAACCCGTCAAACCGCCTTATTTGAACGCAATGATGACCTTGAGATTGCGTATTTATCTTCCTCCATATGATAAGGATTGGAATGGTCTAGTCAAAGATCCTCACCTCCTGCTTCCTACTCACCTCCACTGCTCCAGCCCACATAACGTTTCCTGTGTCTTCTCTGTTGCAGTTGTCTACTGACCATCACTTTGTCTATAAGAATGCCTAGAATGCACTT